TGTTGTTGATAGATCCTGTAGATTTAGATACGATCCATGTAAACCTATAGATTCTTTGAATGAACTCATTTCAAAAGGTTATCAATTAAACACTGTAATACGATCTTTGAATATTGTTTTTATTGGTACTTACAATGATTTTGATCGGTCAAACCTGGTTTTATAGCTACCCAAACCTCTCTGTGACTGTACCTGTAAAAATACTTATTTTAAACAGGATATCATATTTTCATTTTTAGTGTGTTGTTAATTAAAGAGCCCGTAAATTTAAATACAATCCTTGTAAACTTATCGATTCTTTGAATAAACTAATTCTTAAAGGTTATCAATTGTACACTGTAATAAAATCTTCGAAAATTGATTTTGTTATTGAATTAAAACATAAATTCATCAACCTATACAGTTATGAACACTTACTTTTCCGTTTGAACTTATATTTTGAGTTGCACAAGATCAAGTTTTTCTCAATCCTGTGTTCCATTTGAACTTATATTATAAGTTGCACAAGATAAAGTTTTTCTTAATCCTGTGTTCCATTTTAACTTATGTTTGGAGTTGCACAGGATCAAGTTTTTCTCAATCCTGTGTTCCATTTTAACTTATGTTTGGAGTTGCAGACAACAAGGTCAAGTTTTTCTCAGACTGTTTATGACGTCTAAATCCTTCGGTTGTGCATTGATTGGTATTTTAGTCTGGAAACATGATTGAATTATAAGATGTAATTGGCTTGAAATGGCTTTGCGTTACAGCAGTTAGATCGATATTTCATGCCTTTTAGTCGGTTATATGCTTTGTGTAGATCCTATAAGTCAAACCTGTTTCAACTGCACTTTATTATTTGTTCTGACGTTGCACTTTTTACCACTGTCCCAGGTAGGGAGGAGCGCTCGATAGCAAACAACGTTTAACACGACACAGTATTTATGAGGCCTGTAACTCAGTGGTTGTCGTATGTTTCTATATATCATATTTTTTTCGTTTATTGTTTTGTACACAATTCAAATTGTTTCTTTTCTTTGTCCGTCTCTAAATGTTTCAAAGTTTATCATGTCGGGTCTTTGTTCATTGTTGAAGACCAGGATTGACCTATAGTTGCTTAAACCCATGCCATTTTGGTCTCTGGTTAACAGTTGTGTCTTTTGCACTCATATATCTCCTTTTTATTAACATAACTCTTTAGAGTTTTAATAACAATTTCGCGTTTCACTGCACATAGAATTCTGATAAAAAGGTCATAGGAACACAAACTCGTGTTTATGTTAGAAAAGATCAGGTGTATTGTTTTCCATTGAAGTTACCTGCTGCCATACTTTTCAATATTTTCTCGGATTGCCTTAAAAAAAACCTCATATCATCTTTACAGTGAATATGAAAATAAGAACATGTGGTATGATTGCAAATGACACAACTCTCAACAATAGACCAAATGACACAGAAATTAACAACTATAGGTCACCGTACGGCCTTCAACAATGAGCAAAGCCCATACTGTATAGTCAGCTATAAGAGGACCCGTATGACAAGTGTAAAACAATTCAAACGAGAAAACTAACGGGCTAGCTAATTCATGAACAAAATAATGAACGAAAAACGAATATGTTACACAACAACAAACGACTACCACTGTATTACAGGCTCCTGACTTGGGACAGGCACATACAGAATGTGACGGGGTTAAACTCGTTTACTGGCGCCAACCCTCACCCTAAACTAAGTCTAATTTATAACAGTTGATTCCTTAATAAAAAAAACCTGTTCGAATCAAATTTTGAACTGTGATTATGAGTCCTTTTTTTCAAAAAAATTGTTTTTTTCCCTGATGATTCCTCAGAGTTTTTTTGGCAAAGTGAGTTTACAATTGAAAGTGGATATTATAATTTACATTTTTCTTTACTGAGGGCATCGTGCCCCTGAATTTTCGTTTGATTTTATCAGTTCACCCTTAAGGCTAGGGTACCTGATGAGAATAATGCCTAGGTAATATAAACCTCAACCGAAACACCAGGTGAAATTACATCATCAAATGAATTATGTCTAACCAATACATCTATGCGTGTATTAATGAATTATTGAAGTAATAATAAAATAGGTATTTGGCTACATAGTTTTGTTCAAAGTGAAACTAATATTAGTATTGACCGACTATTTCAAATATTTAAGGATTGCAAATGTACAATAAAATTGAGAATGGAAATGGGGAATGTGTCAAAGAGACAACAACCCGACCACAGAACAGACAACAGCAGAAGGCCACCAACAGGTCTTCAATGCAGCGAGAAATTCCCGCCCCCGGAGGCGTCCTTCAGCTGGCCCCTAAACAAATATATATACTAGTTCAGTGATAATGAACGCCATACTAAACTCCAAATTGTACACAATGTATGTATTAAATGATGAGATAATGATATCTTACTATGATTCTCTGAACATATATACTGTTACAAAAATAGAAGATTGTGTCCTAGAGATAATATTGAGATGTTTAGATTGGTTAAGGACTCGTTTTTATTTAAACACCTGAAAAAAACGGATATTGCGTTATTAGGAAATTATGTTACAAATTTTGAAATCGAATTAGAATCAAGGAACATAACTCTCCCATACAAAACTCTGAATTTTTGTCCGGCTTTGGCAAGACTGTTTATTCTTTAAAATTAATAAGCTCATCAGTTTTTAAAAGGCTTTAGATTTTCAATTAATTTTGCCTCGAGCATCACCGAAGCTTTATTTATTTTTGAAATTCATATATTGTACTTATTTCTAAAAAGAAAACAAATAATTCACCGATCCGCATACATTCTATGTTTATAAATGGGACTCTGTACTCTAAATGAAATCACCTGGGAATATATATTTTTTATTACTTTTTCATTATCAAAGATTAAAAAGGGAAAGGGAGTATTATACAATGTAATAAACAGACTAAAAATTGAAACTTTTTAAAATCTACAATATACATGATATACTCTTTTATATCATCAAATTGTATCTTCTAAATTAAGTTTATATTTACAACATAACAAAAACAAAAACTTTACAATTATTTAAAAAAAAAAATGTTATTATGAAAGAATATATCAACTTACAATGGCGTAGATATATTCGAAACGTACCTAAAACTCTGTTACAATAATAAAAATTGTCACGGTTACCTTTAAGGCGTAAATGCTTTTGTCACCGTCCATCGATTTAAATGAATACCTTTAAAACAAAATTCCGTTTCTTATTCTATTTTCATTTTATCGAACCAGACATTTAAGTCTTTTACTAAAATACGACATAGATGGTAAATATTTAAGAGTTAATAAACTTGAGAGTAATCGCTTAAATCAATATTAAAAAAAAAGACATTTCAAAGTGTAGAGTATTGTTTCTAAAGATTCTTAGATAGGCCGTGTTTTACCTTTAACGATTTGTGTTTCTGTTTTATCCCCTCATGTGTACGGACTTTGCAAGGGGTGCTGTATCTTATAACTTTGGCTCACAGCACCTTTAGTTTCTTAAACTTTAAAGGAACTATATTTTGGACATTAGTAAGCGTCATCAACAAATACAACATGAATATCACGATGAAAAATCACTAAAGTTTTTACTGTTTTACATAACATGTATAAATTCTAAAAACTTTCGAGAAATTCAATATTGTATTATAGATAATTATGTTGATGGTTATTTAATAAACATTGCTTAGGAAACGTTAAGTAATTGTAAAGATTAAATAAACAGTCATATTTTGTTCCGATATCTTTGTTCTCTGAAATATCCCAACTCTATGTCCCAAAGCTGTGTTTTTTTACATTGTTCTACATCTTTTTTTTTTTATTAATATTGTATTTATATTGTGTCATATATCAAACTTATTCGTTCAGTGTATGTTGATTTGTTTTTGATTATATGTCTTTTTGATCGAGTAAAGCCATTTCAATTGATATTTTATAGTGTGTCTTTTAATGTTGTAATGTTACACCACTGTTTTAGGTTAGGGTGAAGGTTGGCGCCTGTTAAAACATTTAAACCCGCTGCATTTGTATGCACCTGTCCTAAGTCAGGAGCCTGTTGGTCAGCGGTAGTCGTTTGTTGGTGTGGTTCATTAGTGTTTTTCGTTTTTTATATAGATTAGACCGTTGGTTTTCCTGTTTGAATTGTTTTACACTAATATAGCCCTTTATAGCTTGCTATTAAGTTTGAGTCAAGGCTCCGTGTTGAAGGCCCTACTTTGACCTATAATGGTTTACTTTTCACACATTGTGACTTGGATGGACTGTTGTCTCATTGGCAATCATACCACATCTTCTTATTTATATATCATGTGGTCGTTTATTCAAAATTCTAATTGTTAAACTAAAAAAAATATATATTAAATGCAATGATGAAAAACATCGAGCATGAAATTCATAATTAATTACGTATCAGATTGACCGAATACATAACGAGACGTGACGTTCATTTAAGACATTCTCTTTTAAATAAACACGTTACACCATCATTATCTGATAATGAAAAATATGTAATGGCTGGTCACATATTTGTGTTAGATATAAAACAGCTATGCTCCCAATATAATTCCATACCCGCCATTCCCATTGCATCCTATTTTTACTATTTACAATGGAATATAAGGCGGACTTTGGCATTACTTTCAAAATATAGCATTATTTTCATCAATTATCATTTTAAGCTGTCTATCTACAAATCATTATAATTAAAGTTTTTAATATTATTGTGAGGTTTTACATACTCGATAAAATGAATAAATCAACTAATTTCTGAAAGTTGAAATTTCTTGTCTAACTATGTTTTCTACCTGAGTCTACCTATCATTCACATTGTACACTTTTTATCACTTAGGTTACACCAATAATACGAAATAATACCGAATAAAGTTATCAAAGCATGAGATCAGTTGTCCAGACTACATTCATAATATTTAAATCCGTGGGCAAATGAATAGGCATACAAATTTTTGTGTAGAACTAACAAATGCATCATGCATGTGTGTATTTAATAAACGAAAGTTTTGGTAAAGTTATTCATTCATGCGGTTAAATCGTCTATTAATATACTTACATAGCGTTTTAAAATGCACCTGAAAGTTAAATATTTGATTACATATTACATTATTAGATATAGCTCTTAGGGCGTTAGTCGAATTATTCATTTTGTTTAAATTGTACCGATACATGTAGGATTTATTGATTTACAGTCACTGTGTACAAATTACAATTAAAATGGCACAGACAGCGTTTAAATCATGCGAAATATGTGATGGTGGGCTAGGTCATCAGTATTGCCAGCAGTGTGACCAGTTATTTTGCAAAAATTGTAAAACTTCACATTTGCGAACAAAAATTAGTAAAAATCATACATTTTTTATTGGACGAAATATCAATCAGGAAGAACAACAATTTTGTGCTGAGCATGATGAATCGTTTATATTTTACTGCGTAGATTGTGATACAGTTGTGTGTAAAATATGTGCTGTTAAAAGACACAATAGACATGACATGTCTGAGATAAATGAATCAGTTCTGAAACTCAAAGTGCAACTAAAAAAATATGCTGAATCAAAAGTTAAAGGACTTCGCAAAGACATTGAGAAGCTTGACGGGGAAACTATCGAATATCAGTCAGAAGTTCAATCTGTTATCCAGTCCATTATTGAGGATTCAGAACGCATGAACGCTTTGATCGATCGAAAAACAGACGAATTGATTAAATCTGTAAAGGAAGTCGAAGAAAGGAATCTTAAGATCTTGTCAACAGCAAACAGTAAGTTCAGTAACAACCTGCACAAGGTCAATAGGGTCCAGAGAACAATCAAAGATTCTGCTTATATGTCCGATGTGGCACTTCTTCCAAAATTACAACAACTTCAAGCTGAAATTTATAAAATAGAGCCGACAAGGACTCCAGGTATACCGACCGTTAGATACTCCACAAAGAAAATATCACACAGCGATACCGGTAAATTGTTTGGAGATTTATCATTCAGGTAAATATGTCTAAGAATAAAATCCAAATACTATGGGAAGATGTTGGTTTGATTGAATAATGAGCGAATCCACAAACAGCGTTAACTTCACTTGCACGGGTAATAAAAAATAAACAAGCCAAAAGCAACGATACAGCTTAAAACAAAAATAAGAACAAAAGCATCACTTAAAATTGAGCTTTGATCGCTACAAACCTATTCTTCAATTGGAAATTATACTATAACATTGAGAGCAAAGACATAAAAAAAACGTTCAAATATATTTTTATTGTCAAAAGTATATCTTTAGATTTTATTCAACTTAAAAAAAATGTATCAATCTTACTCTGCATGCGGTCATAAATAATAAAACAAAGATATTATCAACACCAAATTGAGATAAAAATATATGACCAGTATCAACATTTATAGCATATTGGCAAGGCTTTAGCTTAAGTGGTGTTGTTCATGAAATAATTAAAAGAACCTTTGAATAGCGACAAGTAAAAATCTATAAAGCACACAAAAAACTTTAAAATACATACATATCTATATTAATATACTAAGTTGTTTGATGCATGTTCCAGCTTGTTGTTGTATATTCTTTAGTATTCTTCTAGAGTAGGTACATTTTCAAAGACGAAAATCATGAAATCCTATTTAAGTTTACGTAAGAGGACTATAATAATTTCTTCATTTTCAACTGCACAGTGTAGATAAACGTAACACATTTAGCACTGACACATTATTTATTAACCTGTTATTCAGTTGTTTTTTTTGCTGCTTTCCGTTATTTTTGTTTTTTGTTACTTGTTGTTTTTAATTAGGACGATTGTTTTGTCGTTAACAATGTTTCACAATTTTTCATGTGGAGGCCTCTTTGAACTGACCTTCAATTTAGGATTTGCTCATTCTTGAAAGCCGTACGGCAACCTATAGCTACTTCTATCTACGTCTATTGGATAGTTGTCTCATTGGCAATCATACTATATTTTGTGATTTTGTTATTCATTGTGCATCTTTTGATACTAAAAGTTTTGAAAAGGACATATATAAGACTATCTGAAGCAGATAAGAAACGCTTTATTCGTTTTGAAAACATTACATAACATCTTTTGAAATATGTGCATCTATTTATTTTGCAAATCCGTTCTAGATTATAAGGAAAATATCATTAATATTGTGAAATGAGGTCAGGGCTGAAAATATTTTCATAAGAATACTTCGTAGTGTGTTTTGTTCTTGAAAAGATTATTAACCTCAATTTTTTCTATGTGATATTGGAACATAGTAATGTGTCAATGGTTAAACCACAAAACATCACTTTAAAACCTAAATACTCAAAAGGTTAAAGACAGAAACAGAGAATCTCGTAGTACAATTATTCGACATTGATAGTTCAATCAAAGAGTGTAAAACAGTGAGTTATATTTCGGACACTATCAGAACATAATTATGTTTTGATTTTACTTCCAGTGTTTAACCTCTAATTACATCAGAGTTTACTCTACGAAAATAACAAAAAGTAGCTAACACAAAATTAGTTGTTAGCAAGACCATTAAAATACATGAAGATACGAATGTTCATATATTTTTTTTTTCACCAGTAACGTTATCTGCCTTAATAATGCAGCATCAGAAAGAGAAGACACAGGGTGTACAAGGAGGTATATATCAACTTTAAAAAATACTTATTATCCTAACGGTACAACGCATACCAATTACTCATCAATGCTAAATGATATTTCTAATCAGTTTAAAAATGATTTACGAACAGACAACTTTAGTATCATGATTTATTTCTGTGTAGGCATTACGTTATTTTTGTAGTATGTTAAAGTAGCGTGTTCGCCTCGAGTGCAGGAGGTCATTCGTTCGAAACCCAGCGAGTGTACCTTTGACTTTAAAATTGGTATTTGCTGCGTCTTCGTTAAACACATGGCTGTAGGTAGTAAGGGTAAACAATGGTCGGCTCGGAGTCAGAATAATGTATTCGGGTAGGTTGACATGTCTTTTCGCTGACTGTTACCCTTTGAACTAGCAAGTTATATAATGCTGATCAGTCTATCGGTCCAGTATAAAGCAGGGTAAATATTCATATTGCATAAACAATTTCTCGTCAAGATTATGCATTTGAATTACCGCTTAAAAGTTACGAAAAAGGAATGATACACATAAAGAGTGATGTTTCGACAGATGAAACTGGGTGTATAACATATCCATCATTGTTCGGTATTGATAATAAAATGTGTGGTTTATTGTTTCGCATCCTTAGCGTTACTTTTCTGATGTCAAGCGTTTTAAATGCATGAATATACATATATACATGTATGTACACATGTTTGGAACGCTGCAATTTTGTACAAATTGATAAAATACATATTTGTTTTCAATACGTAATATCAAGACATAAACAGATTATTACAGGGTTAAAGGTGGCTTTAAAAAATATGAAGAAGCGGTATCATTCAGATGTTGATTTTTTTTTAAATTCAAAATATCTTTTAAAATTTAAAAAAAAATAGTGATCATAACAAATATCCAAGAATACCACTTTTGCCACTTCTACAATCTTCACATTTATTCTCCATGCTAAATTTTCCGATTGAAAAAAATATGTTTTTCTTACAAAACTGGCATATACGAGTTGTTTGCTTTAGGTCACAAACCAGACTGATCCCAACAACTGAAATAGCAATGCATGCCCGTGCATGTTCACATTGAACGGACATCATTCACAATGATGTGTCTCTAATGAAAAAAAAATGATTAGGAAAAGCTTTCAATAAGTTCTACTGATATCGACACTACACACTTATTTACGGTCGCCATTACGACTTGGTTGACCGAAACGATGCGTGTGTATCTTCAACTACAATATACATGTTTGCTTGATCTTAAATATCTAGATGTAAGTTTATGGTAGTAGTTGTTCACCAATGATCAAACCTTTTAACATTAGGCAGATAATATATATTAAGATAAAGAACAACAACTGAGGAAATCGCTCGAACAGATATAGAACAGATGACTAGTCCATGAATTAACTGACTGAGTTATATTCACTGATCTGACATCTTGACTGACTGTTGTCTCGGAGGTGTTTACATAGTAGGAAATAGATTAACGAGATTCGAACATCAATAAACTTTTGTTGCATCTTTCTCAAACCAGGATACAGCATGAAGATCATTAGTTCACATTTACTTCCATTATTTACAGTAAATTATTAAAAATAAAGTCTATTCTGTAGCATGATCATGGTTCGTGTCCAATCGTACATTGTGATATTTCTGCACTTTTAAACATTAACAGTAGTTTATCTGTAAAGCCTATGCTTTTTATGTTAATATCACTTATGTTTTGCCTTGTACATGCTATATATATTACGCCAAGTAGTAGATAATATAATGGCGATGGTTTAAGAAACTAATTAGCAATAACCACGTGTTCATTGCCATTCTATAGTCTTCTTTCACCTGTATATGTTATATATTCTATTACAGTACATCACACAGTATCACCAGCAAAGCTTTCATGACAAAAACAAAGAGAAATCGCTTTACATCCCCCACAAGAAATAACCTGTCTAGTGACTACTGCGAAGATTGGCAGTTAGTAATGCAACCAGTTTTCAAATTACATAACTGACACAGCACTCTTATCGGTGAAATAGAAATGCAACACTAAAATAAATATGACAGTTTCATGAAAATACAAATGTGTCTATGTTACCAGCTTGTTTGTCACTTTGGAATTTTGTATTTGCTTCTTTTTTAAGAAAAATGTCAAGTACACTTCCGTATTACAAATATTGTACGATAAAATGAAGAAAAAATAATATTCGTTTTTAAGGCACGACATGAAAATAGAAACATACATAAATTGTATTCTATCATTTATTCGCATTTTATATTAATGGCTTATGGACTTGATTGGTTTTTTGTACTGTTTTTAACAGTACTATATATGACAGCTCATCAGTAAAATCATTTAACACACTATAAATGTGAGTTAAAACATTCTGGAATAAAATTACGGTATCATTTCTTTTAATCTTGCATCCCATATTAATCAATCGAGTATGTTTGACTGCATGATACATTCAATTTCATGTCCATCTTTTTCATTCATAAACCAAACATAAATTTTGTTTATGTAATTTTGATTTAATTTCACTTACATACCGTGAACTTGTTATCGATTTTAAAAAGTTAACAACGATAATAATATGTTAGGGATATAAATAAAAGAATATATATTTGCAATTTAATGTCAAAACGCATCAGACCAAAACAAAATACAAAAGAACGAGTTTGTTTAATTAAAAAATGCAACATTAATTTAACTTGAAGAATACCTAGTTGTAGCATTAATTTCTTACGAGGGAAACTGTAAATTAAAAAGATCAAAATATAAACACGAAATAAACACTTGTTCGTGCTATAGTTTATATTTCTATCACTGTTTCTCTTCAGAACATCTCAGACTAAAATAAGGACAGTACCGAAACCTAGAAGTATGTATCACGTAAAAAACACTTTATTAATTATGTGCGTTCGAAGTGCTTTTATTGATTTACTTTAACTGGAGTTTTTTTTTAGAGCCAATGATGTATAACCCTTTAAAATCACGTTGAGAACTATTTGGCCGATCGGATATAAAACTTTGTCTGAGGGAGTTAAACATAAGTTTATTCAAATATTCTTACTTTAAAAAAACGTGTATTCTTGGGGATGCAACCTTTTATGATCTATGAAAATAACATACAATTAATATTGAAAATAGGAAATGCTTTACTAAATACATATGTATTGTAAGGAGTCTCGTAAAAATAAAAATAAAGAATATGTATTTCAGCAGTGAAGGTAATTGTTTGCAGGATGCAGTATCACATTACATAGTACATGTATTTAAACAAATAATGGACAACAATAATATGTAACATGGTGTTATCATATATTGTCCTTGTTCCAGTTGGGTTAAAAAAATATTATACACTGTGATCTTTAACATATCACAAAAATGACTGCTTAAAAGCGAACTGATCGAAAAAAAACCTAGTACCTAATAATATCCTCTTTCAGCAATAACATAAAATAAAACCGACAAAATTGATGAAATATGTATCATCATTATAACACAACAAAAGATATAAGCTTTGGTATTTTTTTTCTAATGTTGCATCCAGTATTCAATTTGATAGCTCTTCAGCATACACACTGTGATTAGCAAAAAAGCATTTGTGTGGTTGACACAATAGACATCAGTGTCTTTGACGGTTTTTCCCTTCTAAAACAAAGTTCCAGTTTACCTTGAATTAAGTACAATGTAAAAGTAATTTCCACACACTATTATTGTACTTGTTATTAATATTAAACCAAAAAATAAATAGAACTATGACATCTATAATCCGTAACACTGCTAAGACATAATAAATTACTGAACCAAGGCTCCGCGTTGAAAACCGTACTTTGACCTATAATGGTTTACATTTTAACATTTTTTTTTTGACTTGGATTGAGAGTTGTCTCATTGGCACTCATACCACATCTTCTTATATCTATTTTAAAAGTTTTCTGAACTTGCATGAAGTTTGTCTAAACCTTGTGCAAAGTAAGCATTTTGTCTGGCTTTGTCACAACAGGTTCTTAACATTCTGAATTTTGTTTTAACAGATTCTTCACATTCTGTTTTGTCTAAAAAAAATATTTTTGATATGAATTGTTCTTACCAAATTCTTAACGTTCTAAATTTGTCGAAACAGGTTCTTAATATTGTACATTTGTTTCGATATGTCTAAAACATCTATCATTTCTGAATGATATTATTATCAGTTCAAAGGGAAAATGTTATATCATTAGAACGGAAATTTATATATCAACAACATATAGTTTTTAAGAAAAAAATATATGTGTTAGAAATTAGAGATTCGATGATATTAAGACAAATTTAAGAGGGTTTTCGCCAATTGTATGTGCTTTCTATATAAATGTTCACAAAAGAGATGATTTCAGCTTCCCAATTGTAAACTTTCCATTTCTATGTAGCAACATTCCAGCAGCGCCTGCATACGGAGTATATATCTCCCAGTTGATACGATATACCAGGGCTTGTATTTCCTATCATGATTTCCTTGATAGAGGGTTGCTGCTCACAAGGAAGCTATTAAACCAAGAGTTCTAAGTGGTGAAGTTGAAATCATCCCTTCGTAAATTTTACGGACGCCATCCCGAGTTGGTTGACCGTTATGGAATAACCGTTTCATAGATGATAGCGGATATGTTCCTAATATCGTAACTACAATCCCGTCCCCTTTTCCCGAATGTGACCTACCGAATTAGACTTATAACCGGGCGACGGATGCCACATGTGAAGCAAGATCTGCTTACCCTTCCGGAGCACCTGAGATCACCCCCATTTTTTGGTGGGGTTCGTGTTGCTCAGTCATTTTTCTTTGTTGTGTTTTGTGTAATATTGTTTGTCTGTTGGTGTTTTTCTTTTTTAGCCATGGCGTTGTCAGTTTATTTTCGACTTTCGAGTTTGAATGTCCCTCTGGTATCTTTCGCCTCTCCTTTACAAATGTTCACCTATTTTGAAAGAATTCAATCAGTAATATTTCAGATAATAAAAGAGATGAATGCATTATTTTTTTCGATTTTCATTTTTAGTTCAACGAGCCAAGGTTGTATGCAAAATGTTAGGAAAAACTGTGACATGTCATAGCCCATTTACTGTTCCTTGACCTTGAGAATGTTAGAAATGTGTTGTGACAAGTTCAGACAGTGTTAAGACAGTTAAGAATGTGTGGAGACAAATTTAGACAAGGTTGAGTCTGTTAAGTTATAATGTTAACTTAAGAGTAATCAGAATAAATTTAGAAACGAATGACAGTGTTGAGAAAATTGAGGAAAATTAATACTTTAAAGACTGTTGAGACAAAATTACTACAAATTGGTTATTTCAGAATCTAAAGTACAAAATCAAACATCAAAATTGTGCATTATGCATTAATATGGTTTTTTTTTTCGCTTTTGTGTATTGTAAAACATGGTATAACTGTATAACTTTATTATTTTGAGAGAATGTACAAGCAAAACCAGTATTGTGACAGCAATGAATATTGTTCAGCATACTTTACTATATTTTTCCACTTTAACCTATTGAATGATTTTTTTTAATTGATTAATTTTATAGTTTCAGAAAAGTGGTACAGATAGACAAATGATACACGTTTACTGAATGTCTATTACATTGTTCACAGAGTACACAATATAAAGAAAATACAATTATATATTATGAGTTATTGTTCATGTCATTTTTTTATACCACACCGTCTCAAGTTACTCTTGATACATTTCGTGTTTTGTAATGTAAATGGAATACAATTAATATGAGTTTTTATGATGTAAACCATGTTGAATTAGCATGCAATTGGTATACTTAAACATACTTAAGCATGCCAAACAACCGTTGGATTCTTTTTTAAATTTTCATTTAAGAAAAAGCTGGTCAAGAACAGCTAAATCAACGAAAATTGTAATGTTACTTTCAATGTAGTAAAAGACAATATTTTGGTTCATTTAACCATTTAATCATTAAAGATAATATAATTCTCCTTTTTTTTTCATAAAGAAAAAAAAACTTTAGAAGTTGTGTGGATTTAATATGATTTATTGTTGAATGGATATTTAATATAAAATGTTTTGTTATGAATAAACTAACTTGAACTTAAATTTTATTTGCGTCATGGATGGATACCCAAAATTCTTTCATGTTTTTCTATAACATAATGCAATGTGTAACACGAATATATTAACAGTATAAATATGAAGAGTATAGATTGAAAGTTCGTGATTTACAAATCGATACAAATTGAATGACCAATTGACATTTTAGTGATCAATTCTAAAATATGTCTTGCATAGCAAGTTCAATTTAACAGATACAGGTGTACATGTGGTTATCATGACTGATCCCTTAGTTTAGTGATATCGATGATGTATTATTCAAGTTTCATTTCATTAAAGTAGTGATGATAATTTAAGATACAGGATGTTATTCATAAGCGGGACAGTACAGTGCGACAATACACCATACACTTTATAATTTGATAGAACATTAGTTAAGTACGAAGGTATGAATTTTGATCGAACTACAGGATTATTACAAATGAATTAATAATCAAATTCTTCTACAATTAACTAAACGATCTAGAAACTAACCTTTCAAAATTTCGGGCCCCCAGTGCTCTTCAAATTCGAATTTAATTTGGCCTTTTAAACTAATTTTAATTTGATCGTCATTGATGAGTCATTTGTAGTTTGGCGTACGAAATTCACTATAAAGGATGACATAGCAATTTACTCTAAATTCCTGATTCATTAAATCAAATAACTTTTAATGATCTATTGTTTAGTGCATAGGTAACAACTTAGATAACGTTGTCGTGTCCCTAATGGTGTGGATTGTCAGGTTGCGGTGGCATTCTGTGTCTATCATTTCCGGGATGTAGGGGGATAGTTAATTGGTCTCTTTTGGAATAAAGGACCAATTCACTTTTTATGTAATGTTGCTCATTTAAGAAACGTACGTGATGACCCTGAGATTTTTGTGATCTCATTGAAAACAATTTCTTTCGCCTTTCTGTTATTTCCTTCGAGTATTGCTGATTATAAGAATCGAAGCTTTTCTTTCAACTTAGGACCAGCAATTTGCACTTTCTTGTGACCTAAAAAGCTGACAAAGTTTGCAATTATGTTTTTTTGGATTGTGTTCTTGCATACCTTTCAATATATGCACGTTGCTGAATTACATTTCTGATGTATCAATTTCAAATTCTCTGTTAAATGTAAGTTTTATTGTCATTATCATCAATTTCAGAGATTCTACCAAATATCAGATTATATTTCATACCACACGATTTCTTTTCAAGTTCATTATTTTACCATTTTATCGTTTCAAGATACCAGACTCTGCAGATGACTGAGAATGGGTATTTATTGCTAATTTGTACAGCTTTTTCTTTGAAATTGGTTTTAAAGTTATAGCCTTTGATGATGATGTAGAAGACCATGAATTTTAACGAGAAAGCAGTGCCTCGGGGACAGACTGGAGAGGCGATATCTGTAAGGTCGATTGAGGCCTAGATGCTGAACTAACTATGGTGGACATATTTCTGAAGAAGATTATATTATCTTAGATAGGCCGGGTTTTACCTTTAACGATTTGTGTTTCTATTTTATCCCCTCATGTGTACAGACTTTGCAAGGGGTGCTGTATTTTATAACTTTGGCTCACAGCACCTTTAGTTTCTTAAACTTTGAAGGAACTATATTTTGGACATTAGTAAGCGTCATCAACAGATACAACATGAATATCACGATGAAAAATCACTAAAGTTTTTACTGTTTTACATAATATGTATAAATTCTAAAAACTTTCGAGAAATTCAATATTATATTATAGATAATTATGTTGATGGTTATTTAATAAACATTGCTTAGGAAACGTTAAGTAATTGTAAAGATTAAATAAACAGTCATATTTTGTTCCGATATCTTTGTTCTCTGAAATATCCTAACTCTATGTCCCAAAGCTGTGTTTTTTTACATTGTTCTACATCTTTTTTTTTTTTTTATTAATATTGTATTTATATTGTGTCATATATCAAACTTATTCGTTCAGCGATGTTTATTTGTTTTTGATTATATGTCTTTTTGATCGAGTAAAGCCAACAATTGATATTTTATAGTGTGTCTTTTTATGTTGTAATGTTACACCACTGTTTTAGGTTAAGGTGAAGGTTGGCGCCTGTTAAAACATTTAAACCCGCTGCATTTGTATGCACCTGTCCTAAGTAAGGAGCCTGTTGGTCAGCGGTAGTCGTTTGTTGGTGTGGTTCATTAGTGTTTTTCGTTTTTTATATAAATTAGACCGTTGGTTTTCCTGTTTGAATTGTTTTACACTAATATAGCCCTGTATAGCTTGCTGTTAAGTTTGAGTCAAGGCTCCGTGTTGAAGGCCCTACTTTGACCTATAATGGTTTACTTTTCACACATTGTGACTTGGATGGACTGTTGTCTCATTGACAATCATACCACATCTTCTTATTTATATATTATGTGGTCGTTTATTCAAAATTCTAATTGTTAAACTAAAAAAAATATGTATTAAATGCAATGATGAAAAACATCGAGACATGAAATTCATAATTAATTACGTATCAGATTGACCGAATACATAACGAGACGTGACGTTCATTTAAGACATTCTCTTTTAAATAAACACGTTACACCATCATTATCTGATAATGAAAAATATGTAATGGCTGGTCACATATTTGTGTTAGATATAAAACAGCTATGCTCCCAATATAATTCCATATTACCATACCCGCCATTCCTATTTCATCCTATTTTTACTATTTACAATGGAATATAAGGCGGACTTTGGCATTACTTTCAAAATATAGCATTATTTTCATCAATTATCATTTTAAGCTGTCACATACTCGATAAAATGATTAAATCAACTAATTTCTGAAAGTTGAAATTTCTTATCTAACTATGTTTTTCTACCTAAGTCTACCTATCATTCACATTGTACACTTTTTATCACTTAGGTTACACCAATAATACGAAATAATACCGAATAAAGTTATCAAAGCATGAGATCAGTTGTCCAGACTACATTCCTAATATTTAAATCCGTGGGCAAATGAATAGGCATACAAATTTTTGTGTAGAACTAACAAATGCATCATGCATGTGTGTATTTAATAAACGAAAGTTTTGGTGAAGTTATTCATTCATGCGGTTAAATCGTCTATTAATATACTTACATATCGTTTTAAATTGCACCTGAAAGTTAAATATTTGATTACATATTACATTATTAGATATAGCTCTTAGGGCGTTAGTCGAAAGCATATTCATTTTGTTTAAATTGTACCGATACATGTAGGATTTATTGATTTACAGTCACTGTGTACAAATTACAATTAAAATGGCACAGACAGCGTTTAAATCATGCGAAATATGTGATGGTGGGCTAGGTCATCACTATTGCCAGCAGTGTGACCAGTTTTTTTGCAAAAATTGTAAAACTTCACATTTGCGAACAAAAATTAGTAAAATTCATACATTTTTTATTGGACGAAATACCAATCAGGAAGAACAACAATTTTGTGCTGAGCATGAGGAATCGTTTATATTTTACTGCGTAGATTGTGATACAGTTGTGTGTAAAATATGTGCTGTTACAAGACACAATAGACATGACATGTCTGAGATAAATGAATCAGTTCTGAAACTAAAAGTGCAACTAAAAAAATATGCTGAATCAAAAGTTAAAGGACTTCGCAAAGACATTGAGAAGCTTGACGAGGAAACTATCGAATATCAGTCAGAAGTTCGATCTGTTATCCAGTCCATTATTGAGGATTCAGAACGCATGAACGGTTTGATCGATCGAAAAACAGACGAATTGATTAAATATGTAAAAGAAGTCGAAGAAAGGAATCTTAAGATCTTGTCAACAGCAAACAGTAAGTTCAGTTACAACCTGCACAAGGTCAATAGGGTCCAGAGAACAATCAAAGATTCTGCTTATATGTCCGATGTGGCACTTCTTCCAAAATTACAACAACTTCAAGCTGAAATTTATAGAATAGAGCCGACAAGGACTCCAGGTATACCGACCGTTAGATACTCCACAAAGAAAATATCACACAGCGATACCGGTAAATTGTTTGGAAATTTATCATTCAGGTAAATATGTCTAAGAATAAAATCAAAATACTATGGGAAGTTGTTGGTTTGATTGAATAATGAGCAAATCCACAAACAGCGTTAACTTCACTTGCACGGGTAATAAAAAATAAACGAGCCAAAAGCAACAATACAGCTTAAAACAAAAATAAGAACAAAAGCATCACTTAAACTTGAGCTTTGATCGCTACAAACCTATTCTTCAATTGGAAATTATACTAAAACATTGAGAGCAAAGAAATAAAAAAAAAACGTTCAAATATATATTTATTGTCAAAAGTTACGCATATCTTTAGATTTTATTCAACTTAAAAAAAATGTATCAATCTTACTCTACATGCGGTCATAAATAATAAAACAAAGATATTATCAACACCAAATTGAGATAAAAATATATGACCAGTATCAACATTTATAGCATATTGGCAAGGCTTTAGCTTAAGTGGTGATGTTCATGAAATAATTAAAAGAACCTTTGAGTTGCGACAAGTTATTGCCCTTGAATAATGATTATTATGAAAATAAGATGTGGTATGATAAATAAGAAAACTATCCACCAGAGTTCAATTAAGTGAATGTAACCAATGCAATTACTTATTAGAGGCCAATGATGACCTGTAAATAATGAGAAAACCCATACCCTATACATGATATAGTCATCTATAAAAGACACCACAAACAAAATTTGGAACAAAACATCAATTCAAACTTCAAATATACCAGACTAATTTATAAAAAAAAACAAGTTATGAAAAAACAAATATGACGGACTATGACGGACTTGAACCAACATCAACCACTGAACTATGTACAGGCTCCTGATTTGGACAGGCAAAATATGGCAGGGTTGATATAAAAATAAGAAGCGGTATGATTGCCATTGAGACTTTTCTCCAATAGAGATCAAATGACATTAAATTTAACAAAATTAGTTCACTGTACAGCCTTCGACAATGAGCAAACCCTATACTGCATAGTAATCTATAAAAGGCCATGGAATAACAAATGTAAAACAATTTAAAAAGGGCATGGTGTCTATCCATGCTAAACATGCTTGGGGGAAACACCACAAAGGCGAAAGCTAAGTGCCTGATTTTTGCACAAAACAAAAAAAAAAAAACAAATATGATATATAGCAACAATTGACAACCACTGAATAACAGGCCCCTGACTTGGGACAGCCACTTACAAAATGTGGCATGGTTTAACATGTTTGCTGGCGCCAAATCCTCCTCTAATTAAGGACAGTGGTGTAAGTGTCAGTTCATTTAAATATAAAAACGATAAAATCAGTTGAAAAGGGCTATTTTCTGCTCTTTGGTCAGGTTATTTTGATACATTCCCGTTTTCATTTTCAATTTTATTAACTCATTTGAATGCAACAAAGCAGAAAAACAGCTACCAAAAACACAGACTGGATGTGGCTGGAAATTTATTCTTTCCCTTTAACAAAAAAGACTCAACATACAGATCTATTAGTACTGACTGTTACTGACAGCTAATTCAAAGCAAATATCAACTAATAAAATAAACATTTTGTGAGCACCCAACCCACCCCTAACCTGAGACAGTGGTTTTAATAACAGCACAACATTTGAACAAACTGTAAACATTTGTTGCAATTGGCTTAACTCAAAAGACTGCAACAAGGCACAAAAAACAACTAATATGAAAACCATAGACACAAAGCACTGAAATAAGAGTTCTTACAATTTTAAATATTCAAATGAAAGTTTTATCAAAATGTACTACATAAACATGATAAAATAGCCATGTTATTGCTGTATTTCTCTTCATTTATAATTTTTGAGTTTTGTGTATTTGTAGGTCAGACATCTTGGTTTTCATGATCATCATTCAACCAGTCAATACTGAACAGAAAACTTAAAGTTGATATTTTTCTACATAGTGTGACTTTTTTATTAATTTGAAATGGAATGTGTTTTTTTCCTACATAAGAAAGAGGAAATTTCATCATAATGACTATAAACAAAAAGGCGTCATATCATCATGATCATAGATGCACAATAACTTAATCATGTAAATGCAACAACGTAATTATTAATTGAAAGAAGGGAGGAATGAAAAAATATATTAGTATTTTGTTGTCCAAATGAACTTGCTTTGTCCACTCATTTAAATCGCTCCATCCAATAAAGATGTACGGTGGAAGATTTTTGAAGAACAGATTGCAAAAGAGGTTTTGTCTTAGAATTGTAGGAATATTCTAGTGGATGAAATAATTTTTTACTTGACTCTTATATAGTGGACTGAATAATTGTACATAGCAAGCTGAAACAAGAAAAACTAAAACTTAATAGGAAAAGTGTTTATTTTATAAATTTGCATCAAAACGTAATATTATGAACACCACAAAGGTATAAGATTCAAATCGTTTGCATATTCATGTATTGCAATGGAACTATAACAAAGAAAACTTTAACTCATGAAAAGAGTAAAATATTAACTGCGCTTTGTCAATTTATTCAGTCAGAATATGAAATATTTTTTTCAGTTCTATTTTTCATAATAAAACAAACAAGACAAAGATTTCAAATCAATTTTTTTATCTTTTATTAAGACATGTCATCATTTTATTTCAGTTAAAGGATTTTATTTTTTGACTTTAAATAGTATTATACTTTCTAAAATAATAATAATCTTTATTGTCATACAAACAAATTAAAAACATGTTTGTGACAAAATGAAAAAAACCAAAATACACTCATACATGTCATATATATATTATAAACATTTTACTACCAAACAGAATTCATTGTAACATACACATTACTGTATATTTATAATTTGAATTCCATAGGATTTTATTTTGTCCCATGGGATAATTATAGTCCCATGGGATTTTTTTTGTCCCATTGGACAACAAATATCCCATGGGACTACAATTATCCCATGGGACCCAAAAAAATCCTATGGGATTTAACCAAAATCCCATGGGATAATGGTCAATCCCATGGGATTTGCCTTATCCCATGGGATATTGAAAATCCCATGTTTTTCTAAGTCAAATTACAGAATATATATAATAATAACAGTAGAAAAGCAATGAAATTATTGAATCCCATGTAATTCCGCACATTTTGGTTATATACACGACATTGTAGGTCTAAGGAGAGGCGGCGGCGGATTTGCAAATGAGTGTTTTTAAATTAAAAGTGTCCAGTGTTTATTGTTGAAGGTCGTATGTTGATCTCTGGAAATATTTTTGTTTATGTGTTAATTAGTTGCTAATTCATCATCTTCGCTAGCCAAGAATTACGATCCAGTCTCATCCTGTGGAGAGGAAGGGGCTGGAGTCGGTTTCACAAAAAAACTTACGACTAAGATTGATCGTAAGTATACTGAATTGTTCATGACTTACGATCAATCTTAGTCATAAGTTTTTTTGTGAAACCGTAATCCTTGGCTAGCGAAGATGCTAGTTCATTGGTTATTGCTCACATCGTATTTTACTTATATAAGATACTGTCAAAAAAGACAAATATAATTTCTTCTCAATTGATATATATATATATATATTATATATGTATTTTAATTATGAATGATCAATATATACATGATATAATAATGGCTTTTCGATTCATTTGTGAGAAGAATGACTATGAATTGTCATGTCTCGTTTTTCCTCCATAAATGAGAGTTTAGATGCGGTTCTTAATTTTTTGTATTCTTTAAATTTTATGGGCATTTTTCTTTATCTTTAAAAATAACACTTATTCTGTAAAATTTCATGAAAATGATTTAACAATTAAATTTTCCTGTAAGTAGATGATTTCTTTATTCTGTACATCGTTCATTTCTGTAATTTCATTACCTAATTTCTTTATTTTCCATAGTTGTTATTTGTACCGTGTACCCCATTTTCTCTGTTCTATATTTCTTTAGGTCATTTTACTCTATTCCTTATTTTTTTCTCCATTATTCTCTATTATGTACACCCCATCCAAACCCTCTTAAATGTATATGTTACCTTTCACTAGTGTCAACAATCTAAACCTTACCTTGAAAGATTTTTTTAATGAAGGAATGAAGTCATTGTACAAAGGCAGACTAATAATTGTTATTATACCTGCAATAGACAACTTTCGAGTTCGATGCATTTCCGTCAAAACCTTTGCTTTTAGTGAACATCATTCGTGTGTTTAGGGGCATCGTCCCTTCTGTTCCCATGTTGCGCGAGTGGTTGGAAAACTATGATGCCTTACGCACAAATTTTTCGGCAAATTAAATTCTCATAATTGACAATCAGCATTGCTATCTTTAGGGAATTGTGATTAAGTACCTACGGAACAAACATTATTTCTATTTTATCCTGCACAATGACGATCACTAAGACGCTTGATGAACGTTAATAGTGCAGGGATACAGGCGATCCCCTCTATCTGGTAAATGACGTCATACATGTAAAGGCGCGCATAATTGACGAGTTTTTTCCGGTGAAGGACAAACTCGAAAGTGGTCTATTACACCACTGTGTATCATCGCCACCGGAAATTGGGTACCAACGAAACTGAGAGAAAGGAGAAAAAAAAAAACAAGTTAAAATTCCTTCAATTTAAATCATTTCTACCGTTTTGATGAGATGAAACGATTTTCTGATATATAATGCTTTAATTTTTTTATGCCAACAAAGACAAGATTTTCTGTTATACTCCAAAAATGTGCACTTAGTACTAAAAAATATCGAGGTCGATCGCCCTATTTTTATAATTTACATTATAAATCCTAGATATCCGAGTTTACATCAGATATTAGATGCAATTGTAATGTAGTCAATTCACATTGAACAAATGAAACCACTTTATCTTTTCTTCCTGTCATAAAATTTTACACTAACACATCACTTATTATTATAATAATAGATAATTGAACTTAGGTCTACGATGATGACCAGAATGCAAGATTGGACACCATTTACTCCAGAGCGTCTGTGTGCCTTGACCATAAAAATGCTGCATCGATTGGAGAGACAGGATGCTCGATTCAATAGTCTTATTTCCTATTACCTCAACCAAATATCCTCTTTCTGTAGGTGGGTATGGATTAGGGAAAGGGGGGGGGGGTTGTGTTCTTAAATGTTTTACGCCATTTTTCTCTATTCTTTATACTTATTGCACATTATTCTGTATTCATTATATTTTAGCACCTCATTATTTTCTATTCTTTATTTTTTTGGTCCATTTTTCTTTATTCCTTATATTTTTTGCCCATTATTCTCTATTCTGTAAATCTCCATCCACACCCTCCTTTAGAACTTACTTACATTACAGGCCCCGTCCTTTTTATTATACATGTGTATAGTTAAAATTCGGTTGATGCAGCATCTGTTTGTGTGGTTTACAAATGAGGGTCTTGATGAGGTTTACAGAAAAGAGAATAATGGGCAAAAAGTGCAGAATAAATGGCAAAAGAAATGAAGAATAGAGAAAATGGTCTGAAAAAAAATAGAATGAAGAAATGAAGGACCCCCAATCCACATCCTCACAAATCCACAGAGGTTATTTTGTAGTGAACGTTTTTAAAAACGAAAAAGAGCGCAGTGCCTATTGCAGTCGTCCTTTTTAAGGACCTTTTTCGTGTTAGCACAACTGATGAAATCGTTATGTGCACACATTGTTCACCTTGTAAAGGACGATAAAACACGTATATAGATATAAACGAAAAAATTATCTTGGTCAAATAAGGTAATTTGCATACCTTGACAGAAAACTATTATAATTTTTATCAACAGTGTTCAAATCGATTATACAAAATGGATATTTTAGGACTTATAGACGTAAACGGATGGATTTTGGCTGTGATTTTTCTTTGTCTAACAATTATTATTGTATTCTTGTAAGTTAAATTTAAATATTTTATATGTTTTTCACAAAAATTAACCTTGACGCAAAAAGGTAAATAGGGACACACAGTGTATAAGTTTTTTAAAGTTAAATCCAATTTTCCGGACATCTTGAATGGCACAGTTGCAAGAATATAAAATATGCAAATACCTTAATTAATTATGAATTAATTACAGAATTTCAATGTATCTATATATATTGTCAACGAAGTCAATTTTAAAAACGGTCTAGAAATTGACACGATGCTACATGAGGGTGTAGATGGGGGTTTACGGGCAATATAGAGAATAATGTACAAAAATAGAGAAAAATGGACCCCAAAAATAAAGAATAGAGAATAATGAGGTGCTAAAATATAAAGAATAGAGATAAATGGGCAACAAGTATAAAGAATAGAGAAAATGGCCTAAAATATTAAAGAATACAGAAATAAAGGTATAGAACCACTAATTCGGGCCAGGTCAGAAAGAAAAAAGAAAGTAGTACATATTTTAAACAAAATAGTTCCTACGCATAGCTGAAACTTTGTCAATAAGTAAAATATATGGGTATTTTTGGTATCAAATTGAAGTCAAAGTTGCTGTTTTGCATATTCCCGTTAAATCCTGGTGCTAATATGGATCAGAAGTTCAAGGTTGACCGTTTCGTGCATTCTTGTCACAAAAAATATACATCATGCTCCTTGTATGCAGTTGTCAATATGGACGGGTATAAGACGGACCACATTTTGAGTCAAGCGTTGGATTTGGTAGAAGAGACTAAAGATAAAGGCAATATTATAACCCAAAGTACTTACCTGTATCAGTTTAATGAAGGTAATCATAAATATATTTTTTATGTTACGGTTTTATGAAGAAGAAGAAAAAAGAAGCCCCCCCCCCCCTACTTCTCGAGAATAAACAAACATTCATATTCGGACACACTAGTACTGATGGGATAGGTGTGTCTGGATTAGAAATCCGACGACCGGGATCCAGGGGGTTCCGGGAGTTAGAATCCCTGTTTTTTTAAAGATCAATGCTTTAGAATAGAGACATATGACTGGGATAAAAAAAATTTACCTTCAAGCAAAGGAGTATTTAGGGAGCAACCATTTTAACTTCAAAGGGGTTTTGGGGGGGGGGGGGGGTATTGTTTTTTGTCGGAGTCAGAAATTTTTTTTCTCGCAATTTGCGAACAATTTTATTTAGTTTTTCAACACTATCAATCAAATTATTTTTCCCTTAAAGGATTTTTTTGTATTCAAATTAGATGCTTAAATTTTTTTCGCTATTGGAATTTCCTAAAATGTGTTTTTTTAATATCTTGAAACAACTTGTAGTGAACACTATTAGTAATTTCTTATGTTCATGCTATTTAAAATATAATCAATTTCTATTGTAATGACTAACAATGGACTGTGTTTTCGGGATGTAGAAGCAGGGGTTTCAAGAAACCCCGCTCGTCACACCCTGTGGTC